TAGTAGTAGTAGTAGTAGTAGTAGTAGTAGTAGTAGTAGTAGTAGTAGTAGTATCCGGATAATACTATTAGTATCAGCATACATTTATTTTTTGTATCTTTATTGTCATTATCATTGTTATTATTGTGATGTATTCAAACCCCCTCCCCAAAAAAAAACAGCTACTGTTGCTATTTTTTCGTATATATAGGGTAGGCCACAATTGTTTTAAAAACTGTTGGTCACTATTTCTTAAAAGGATTTTGTTCGTATTACCCTTTTCTTACATTATTATTGCATTATATCGCCTTTTCCTGGAATCACATTTGTCATCATCTTTCCTTTGCAGTTACGTTTGTCTCAAATCGTCTTTCTCTTACGTCACATTTCTTTGACATCTACCTCTATCTCATATCAGTTTCCCCCAACATTTACCTTTATCTCATATCACCTTTCCCTGACATTCATACACCTCTATCTCACATCATTTTTCTAAGACATTCACCTTTGCCTCACATCACCTCCCACGAAAATTTACCTTCATACCCTCTTCTTCTCTCCCCAGGTGCCCTTGTCTAGTGCTGAGTGAACATGCTTGAGTTTAGGATGCCGCTCGTGAGTACCTCCGACTCACGGCAGGACTGTCGCCTGCTGGTCTTACTGCTCACTCTCACCTTGGATTACCTTGACCTTGCGTCCGCCAGCTCGTCATGGGAACATCTTTCTCGTGAGTACAACAAACCCTTACACTTTACACGCTCAAAGTCACACGCTAAATCCTGTGTATACAAAGACATACGCTTGATAATATTATGAGCTTTCATACATTTCTGTAACATGACGAAAGATAAAAATACCCCTTTACAAAGTATGCATGTACAGATTTGTGCATCACGAAATAGTAAACATACAAACACATTGTGCATAATTATACAAGCACCTAAGCACGTATACAATAACATTATAATGTACACTGCACACAAACTAGCACCTCCCACCCCTTTTCAGACGCTTATAAATACCCGTATACTCAAAAATACTAGCTCTAAGATAAACAAAAGGAGAAAAGGAATGAAATGGACATAAAGAGAGAGAGTGTATGTACGAGAAACAGAGAGAGAAGGGGGGAGAGAGAGAGAGAGGGGGGGAGAGAGAGAGAAAGAGAGAGAGAGCGAGGGAGGAGAGACAGAGACAGAGACAGAGAGAGAAAGGGAGAGAGAGAAAGAGAGAGAGAGAGCGAGCGAAAGAGAGAGAAAGAGAGAGAGAGAGAGAGAA